GTTTTGTGGGGTTGTGTGTATGTGTGTGCACTCACCTAGTTGAGATTGCAGGGGTCGAGTCCAAGCTCCTGTGTGTGTGTGTGTGTGTGTTGTGTGTATGTGTATTGTGTGTGTGTGTGTATGTGTGTGTGTGTGTGTGTGTGTGTGTTGTGTGTGTGTGTGTGTGAGTGTGTGTGTGTGTGTGTTTTATGAGTGTGTGTGTGTATGAGTGTGTGTGCGTGTGTGTGTATGAGTTTGTGTATGTGTGTGTGTGTGTGTGTGTGTGTGTGTGTGTGTGTGGTGTGTGTTTTGTGTTGTGTGTGTTTTGTGTGTTTTTATGGGAAATTTGTATATGTGTGTGTGTGTGTGTGTGTGTGTGACTCAACAATCAACATTTGCACCAATAACTCACTACAGTTGTGACCGGGTGTGGAAGTGTGAATTGCTCATTACTCTAAAATTTGTTCATGATTGTAGCCATGTATAAACGTAAAGTAACCATTCTTACAGTATTCATTACCTCTGTAACTTGTGAGTTCATTACCTTTGTACCTAGTTCAGCCATCAAAACTTTGGGGCCCGGTCCCTGGACCCATTGTGTACCTCTGTAATCTTTAAATACCTTTGTAACTTGTCATGATTGTGACTAGACCTACCTGGAGTTCATTACCTTTGTAAATTGTGAGTTCATTACCTTTGTAAATTGTGAATTCATTACCTCTGTAACTTGCTCAGCTATCAAAACTTTGAGGCCCAGTCCCTGGACCCATTATGTACCTCTGTAATCTTTTGACTACCGCCCACAGGATGGGTATGGGGTGCATAATAAACATATTAAACTATTAAACTAACTGCAAAATTGGTTTTTAGGTGGTTTAGGGTACTGGTAACTGCTGTACATATGGTTGAGGGTACCACTAAATGCTGGTAAGAATTTTTACGAGGAAGTACCTTCATCAGCATTTATTTCACGAATATTTAAAGGTATCGAGAATATGATACCCTCGTTGATCTGTTCTTCATGCCTGTGACATCAAAAGTGCATTTTAGAATTATTACAAACATAGGTGGTAGATTAAAGATCTGTAGCACCTGGTCATGAAACTAAGCCAGAAAAACAAGGTACACAGCAGGACAGAGCAAGGGCAAGACAAACACAGCAGGGGTAAATTTCTTTACCCGTGTATACAGTGTTAATATATTAAGATATCAGAGTTTGTAATAGTGCAACCAAGAGCCACCCCAAGGCATGAGTGAACACAACCAGTGTTTGCAAAAGTCTGTCATCCAGCCAGGTGGACAGGTGTGACGTCACCATGGCTGGAGTAGCTGGCATTCACATGATTGATATTTTGAACTGGACATTAAGCACAGCAGTTGGGGCCCCCTAACTGATACACTCTGAACTGCCAATAGAGAGGGTATGCCAAATGGTTGTGTGATGAACGTCGAATAAAATATAACATATTCGACGCACTCCATAAAATTCTTGACATCATCCAGCAGGGAAGAAGCTGCCACTGAGGAAACGTTTTAATGTAGGAGCTCCGTCAATGTATTTTCAGTGTTTTGTTTACACGTCCTTGACACTCCATATATTTATCTTTGATTTAGTAGATGAGGGTTTGTTATCTTTCATACAGGAACGGTGTTATTGGCCAACGCTGAGGAAGTCATGTCAGACCCTAAGTTATGGAAGAACCCACATGAGTTTGACCCAGAAAACTTCCTGAACGCTGAAGGAAAATATGTAAAGAACGAAGGCTTCTTTCCTTTTGGTATAGGTATGTTGTGATATTTTATGACAATCGGTGTAACAGACTCACTTTTCCCTAAGAAAACACTGCTGCCCCTGGTGCCTATGAATAAGTATTAATCTAGAAGTCCGTAGTCCATAGCAGATGTCGTTACCATCTGAGATGGTTCAACCTCTCAAATACCACTTTGTTTCAGGGTTCATGTACCTATTTTAAAACATGATTATTTTTCCAAAGGAGGAGCTTAGCCTTATTTCGCCATACTGGAGGTAGTAGAGATGTCTTGTCTGAGAGCAATGTGTGAGGGAAATATTATAAAGAGAATTTGTAGCTTGGAGATTAGGAGAAGGTGCGGGGTTACTAAACAGTACTATCCAGAGGGCTAGGGATGGGTTGTTGAGGTGATTTGGATATTTAGAGAGGATGGAACAAAATAGAATGACTTGGAGGGTGTATAAATTTGTTATGGAGGGTAGGCAGGGTAGGAGTTGCTCTAGGAAAGGTTTGAGGGAGGGGCTTGGATATCCAGCAAGGGTGTGTGAGCTTGCTAGGTAGGAGTAAGTTGAGCAAAGGGTTTTTTTGGTCTTGACGAGCTGTTGGAGTGTGAGCACGATAACATCTGTGAAGGGATTCAGGGAAACCGTTAGCCGGACTTGCGTCCGGCTAACAGGCTATCCTCAGCCCTCCTGAGGGAGGACTGAGGATATTTGCTGTAATATATGAACTGTAATATTGGCGAGCCTCTGGCAAGACAGTGATGGAATGAGTGATAATGAAAGTGTTTATTCATTTTTGGACCACCCTGCCTATATATATATATATATATATATATATATAAATATATTATATATATAATATATATATATATATATATATATATATATATATATATATATAGTCGTGCCGAATAGGCAGAACTTGCGATCTTGGCTTAAATAGCAACGCTCATCTTGCCATATAGGACAAGTGAAAATTTGTGTATGCAATAATTTCGCCAAAATCATTCTGAACCTAACGAAAAAAATATATTTCACTGTGTTTGTTTAGTATTAAATTACTGTAAACAATTCTAAAGTATATTTAGTTAGGTTAGGCTAAAATAAATTGTTCTTGTTATAATAAGGTTAGGTAAGTTTTCTAAGTTCCCTTTTTGGGTGCAAAATTAAAAATTTTTACATCAACATTAATGAAAAAATATATCTTTAAACGTATAAGAGAAAATTTCAGAAAGGACTTAATTTTAAATGAGTTCTTGCTAATTGACCAGTTTTACATATTCGGCACGACATATATATATATATATATATATATATATATATTTTATATATATATATATATATTATATATATATTATGATATATATATATATATATATATATATAGTTTTTGGTTGCTAACTAGACACATTAACCTCTGGTATATTCCTGCAGGAAGACGAGTATGTGTCGGGGAGTCTCTGGCTCGCATGCAGATCTTTGTTCTTCCTCGCCAGCCTCTTCCAACGCTTCACCTTCTCCCTCGTGGGTGAGGGAGGTTATTCTACCAACAACAACACCTTTAGTGCCCCAGTCATCTACAGTGCTGTAGCTCACCTGAGACCACCTCTGTAGGTCCCTTGTAACAGCGCAAAGCATCCTCAACCCCTACCAATTTGGCTTCAGGAAAAGCAAAGCACAAACGACGCAATTGTAAAAATGCTAGACCTGTTTTACACAGCACTTGAAAAAATGAATATCCATTAGGACTCTTTATCGACCTAAGGAAAGCTTTTGATACAGTAGACCACAACATCCTGCTCCACAAACTTGATTATTATGGCATAAGAGGCCACCCACTTACATATTTCAAATCCTACCTTACTAACAGGCATCAATACGTCTCTTTTAAGGACAACCTCATCAATAAGACCACTGGATACTGGAGTACCACAGGTCCCCTGCTCTTCCTTTTATACATCAATGATCTTCCTAATGTATCACAACACCTTAAACCTATTCTCTTTGCTGACGACACGACGTATGTCATCTCCCATCCTAATCTTGCCTCACTCAACACCATTGTTAACGAAGAGCTTGTGAAAATGTCGACCTCGATGACTGCTAATAAACTTACACGTAATACTGACAAATCCTTCTACATTATGTTTGGGAACAGAACAGTTGTTGCCCAGCTGAATATAACGACTGACAACACTCTTACTGCTAAACATAGTGAGGGCAAATTCCTGGGCCTGCATCTTGACAGCAACCTGAAATTCAACACCCATATCAACAAATAACAACAAAAAAAAGTATTTAAAACAGTTGGGATCCTCTCCAAGATACGTTACTACGTACCACAATCAGCCCTACTCACACTATACTATTCACTCATCTATCCCTACCTCACCTATGCTATTTGTGCCTGGGGATCAACAGCAGCAACTCACCTAAAGCCAATAATAACCCAACAGAAAGCCACAGTAAGAATTATCACGCAATCCAGTACTAGACAACACCCCTTCCCCACACTCTTCAAAGACCTAAACTTCCTCAGTGTACAGAACATCCACACCTACTACTGTGCAACCTACATCTACAGAACCATAAATTCTAATATTAACCATGAACTAAAACACTTTATAGTTGCAACAGAACACATAGACACAATACCAGACACAAAAATCTGTATGACATTCCTCGTGTCCGGCTAAACCTCTACAAAAATTCGGTGTACATAAAAGGGCCTAAAATCTGTAACTCCCTGACTGAGAACTCAGAACAGCAGACTCAACCACCATTTTCAAAACTACCGTCAAAAAACATATTATCTCCCTAACACACCCGATCATCAACTAGCCAAATGAAACCCACCTAATTCTCATTTTTTGTATCATAACACATCCAAAACAATATAATCTTACTCTTGTCATCTGTAATTCCTTCTAACTTACACATATACTCACCCAAATACAATACAATACAATACAATACTTTATTTGGACATGATACATAGTTGCACAAAGAATTATAGTTGGGTGTACATGCCAAAAGCCCTTTATATGCAGAGCATTATGTGCAGGCTTAAAATTAACTTAAGATTAACTAAGCAATGATATATTCAGTGGCAAAAATTACAGTAAACAAAATACAACATGAAGTACAAATGAATATTTTAAACAATGAAGAGGAATTATAATTGTACAAATTTGTAGCATAACAATGTATAATATAACAAAATGATCAATATACTATATCAATATACTATTGGTAGTGCAGAAACAGGTCAGATGGTCATTAGATGAGTTACTGCGCATTCAAGAGAATGGATTATTCTATTAGGTAATGTAATTAAAAAAAACATAGTTTGATAGAGTCACAGTTTACACTTTTATGAAATACAGTTATTTAATATTTATTTAGTTGTGGTTGAGTAAGTGGTTTTTAAGAAGAGTCTTGAATTGATAAACAATGTTTCTTTTGTATTCACAGGTAATGAATTCCAGATTTTTGGGCTTTTTATATGCATATAGTTTTTATATAGCGTGAGATGGACACGAGGAACATCAAAGAGTGATCTGTGCCTTGTGTTATGTCATGTGTTCTGTTGAGGTTGATAAGGAGAAGTTTGAGGGGAGGGTTTATACCTGAGTTTATTGTTCTATGTAGAAGGCACAATAATAATGTGGATGTTTTGTACAGTGAGTAAGTTTAGAATATTGGTGGAGTATGCTGCCTGGAGTGGGAATTTGTTATCGTTCTGACTGCAGACTTTTGTTGGGTAAATAGTGGTCTGAGATGATTTATTATTGTTGAGCCCCATGCACAGATTCCATAGGTGAGATAGGGGTAAATGCGTGAGTGATATAGGGCCAGGAAAGCTGACTGTGGAACATAGTACTGTATCTTCGATAGTATGCCTACGGTCTTGGAGATTTTCTTGGAAATTTGTTGTACATGTGTGTGAAATTTGAGTCTATTATCAAGGTGGATTCCTAAAAAATTTCCCTCTGTGAGTTTCGTGATAGGTGATCCGTTTATCATTATGTTAAGAGGAACATCTGTAGTTCTGTTCCCAAACTGAATGAAGTAGGTTTTGTCTATATTGAGAGTAAACTTGTTAATCAATTCGGTATTTACAGTATTGGCTAGTATGACTGGGCTTGGGTGAGAGAAGACGTATGTAGTGTCATCTGCAAAGAGTGTGGGTCTGAGTAGTTGCGATGCATTTGGTAGGTCGTTTATGTAAATGAGAAAGAGAAGAGGGCCAAGGACACTTCCCTGTGGGACTCCAACTGTAATTGGCTGTGTGGAAGAGTTTGCTCCATTTGTGTACACATATTGGCTTCTGTTGCTAAGGTATGACTTTAGGTAGTTGAGGGAGTGCCCCTTATACCATAGTGTGATAATTTTATGTGCAACAAATTATGGTCAACTGTATCAAAAGCTTTACATAAATCAATGAAGATCCCCAATGGGACTTCTTTTTTCTCAAGTGCAGTGTATATTTGTTCAAGCATGTGTATAATAGCATCATTCGTATTTTTATTTGTCCTGAACCCAAACTGACAGGGATTGAGTATGTTGTGGGAGATGAGGTAGGAGTAAATTCGCTTATGAATTAATTTTTCAAAGATTTTAGAAAGAAGGGATAAGTTGGATATTGGCCTATAGTTATTCAAGTCTGCTTGATCTCCACCTTTATGTATTGGGGTGACCCTCGCTATTTTGAGAACTGTAGGGAAGGTAGAGGATTCGATGGATTTGTTAAAGAGTGTTGCAATGATTGGTGACAGCACTTGTGAAGCTTTTTAGTATATAAAGGATGGTAAGGTATTTAAATCTCCTGCCTTGTTCTTTAGTGTGTTGATAATAAGTGAGACTTCTCTTGGGTTGGTCGGAGCTAGGAACAGTGTGTTCGGGAAGGTGCCAGTGAGGTAGTCATTAGGTGGGGTGTTTGAGGTTGGGATTTTTTCCACCAGGTTTTTTTTCCTATGGTGGAGAAGAAAACATTGAGTCTGTTTGCTGTTTCAGTCGGCGGGAATTGGGGTTCTTCTAGTTTTGTTAGTTTGATTGTTCTGTTTCCTGGTATCTTCTTTGTTCCTAGAATTTCAGATAGGGTTTTCCAGGTCTTTTTTATATCACCTTTTAAGTTGGATAATCTATTCTCATAATACAATTTTTTTGCCCTTCTTATCAGGCTGGTTAGGATTGACGAGTAACATTTTGTTTGGTCTCTGGTTATGTGACCCATTCTGCACTGTTTTTCGTATAGGTGCTTTGTATTTATGGATTTGAGGATGCTGGGTGTTAGCCAGGGACTGTTCAGTCTCTTAGCTGTCATCTGTTTAGTTTTTTTTGGGCAGTGCTTGTTATAGACGTATTGGGTCTGTAAACATAAAACTCCTAATATAGCTATTGCCTATTAAATCTCAAGTTAGTCCTAAGTTTGCCTAATATACTCTTCCAGTATAGGAGCTTTTATAGAAACAGTGTATCATGCCAAGACAAATCTCATCCCATTACTAAATTTACCGTTTGTAATATTATTACATGTATATGTTTTGTACTACCGTACTATTATAAATCTAATTATGTATCTAATTATGTATGTTTTAATTATGTATGTAACTAATTATGTATGTTAAAATATACTGCTCTATAGCCTATATCAATATTGAGTAAGAATTAGTATTAATCTGCCCGAAATGCTAGGGATGCTAGTGGCCATCTTTTTAATTAATACTTTATAACATGTAAACCATGCATTGTAAGCTTTACAAGGAATAAACATTTTCATTTTCATTATTCATTTCATTTTCATTTTCAATTGCTGTACACTCGAAATTCAAACACACTTTGTTTTATATTGTCTGTGAAAATTATTTCAATCTAGTCATTAATAATGGAGTAATTTCAAGCAATAGGCTAAAATCTTAGTTTCCAGATATTGGAAAAAACGAGAATACAGCTCATTACGTCAAAAAAAAAAAAAATCACAAAACGCGCTACTTTGGATGTTTTCTATGCAATGTAAGTGATTTCGCATTGATTCCCCTGTATATTATACCGTTTTCTTTAGTGAAAACCGGAAGTAACAGAGAAAACCCGTCTCTTATAGCCAGAAACTTGAGTAAATCATTCATTGGGGCCGGCCAGCACCCCCCGGTAAAATATAGCCCCTCAAGGAAGGTTCCCTGACTCTGGTAAGGGGCTCTTGATCTAGGGAATTGGATCTATGCTCCAGTTCCCTGAATTGAACCTGAATGCCTTTCATTCCTCCCCACATGCGCTATATAATCCTACGGGTTTAGCGCTTCCCCATGATTATAATAATAATAGAGCTCCTCCCACACTGTGATGATGTTGTTTGGTAAATTTGGTGTATTAGAAAAAAAAGTAGAAAAAAACTCAAGGAAAAAAATAATCTCACAGTCACGATTTTTCTATGTGGTGCGTCGTAAGTTTTAGTTTAATATGTTTATTATGCACCCCATACCCATCCTCCGGTGCGTCGTAAGAAAACGTGTTTCAAATAGCTATAATGCGCTTTAGATACGACGTATTCCAATGGAATTTTTCACCAAAATGTTGCCAGATTCTTATAATAATAATCTTAAACTATTTTGCTGTCAGCAAAATTCATTTTCCAAGTTTTTCGAATTATTTTCGTACTCCGCGCGCCGCGGCGTGCCACAGGTACCTATAATCTGGTTTTCTCCCTCTGTTAATTATATCTAGTAATATAAATTGTGTAAATATGCTGGGTTAGGATATGTTAAATCCTTTTGAAGTTAATTATCCTAACTTTGCCTACGGGAAGTTAGCGTCTGGCAGCGGGGTTATACACTTACTTACTTACTTACCAGTGTTCCTTATTTTGTTGGAAATCATACGCTCTTTACGTACGGTGTGAGGACGGACTCGTTGGTCAGGGAGGTTTCTATTTTACAGAGCCTTTTTTTTTTTGTCTTTGTCTTCGCTATTGTCGGCAACACGTCATTCGGATCCTCCAAATCGTTGAATTAAATCTGAGAATTGAAATAATTGGATTCTAAGATCGCTCGTTTGAGACATGGCCAGTTACATACCTTGTGATACAGGACCAGATAAGGGTTTCCAAGTGTCTTATTTGACACAGTGATCTGAGTTTGTCTTAATTACCCACCTTGTCCTCCACCTTATCACAGTAAACATGATTTTTACCACATTTTTCCATTAAATTTATTAACTTTCAGCATTCTTCTTATCTGAAGTGGATGTTCATTAGATTTGATAATCGGTGACAAGACTTCAATCACGCAAACACAACTAGTTGAGAACACGAATGTGAAATGAATTGACCTTAAATTGACCCATACAAGACGTCTTTATACTTGAGGAACTACCGTCCTCCCAAGTGAGCGTCAGACGAAACCCTGTAATTGTTTTTACTCGTTAGTAGGAGTGCTGGTATCTTTTATCTGTTTCATAAAGTTCTACTTAGGACACTATATATACACGTAATACACGTAAAGGTATACACACTCATCTGAGTTTTTTTTTATTTTCTTAATAGTTCTTGTTCTTATTACTTCCTTTCATCTCCGTGGGGAAGTGGAATAAGAATCTTTCATCCGTGGGTTATGAGTGTTGTAAAAGCCGACTAATATGCCTGGAGCAATGGGCTAGTAACCCCTTCTCCTGTATAGGTTACTAAAAATAAGAAGAAAATCTTTCAGCTGGGATGTTTGAATGTGCGTGGATGTGGTGAGGATGACAAGAAATGATTGTGGATGTTATCAATGAGAAGGACATGAATGTGCTGGCTGTACGTGAAGGGGGTAGGAGAGCTTCAGTGGGGAGAAATAAATGGGCTTAGGCCAGGGGGTTCTGTTAGCGTTAGAGCCAAGGAAGGAGTAGCAATAATGTTGAAGGATCAGTTATGGTAGGAAAAGAAGGAATATAAATGCATAAATTCAAGGATTATGTGGAGTAAAATAAGGGTCAGATATGAAAAGTGGGTTATAGTAATGTTTAGTGTTTATGCACTTGGAGAAGAGAGAAAGAAGTATAGAGGAGAGAGAGAGAGATTTCGGGAGATGTTGAGAGAGTGTTTGGGAGTTCTGAACCAAGTACTCACCTAATTGTGGTTGCAGGGATCGAGACTCAGCTCCTGGCCCCGCCTCTTCACTGATTGCTGCTAGGTCCTCTCTCTCTCTCTCTCTCTCTGCTCCCTGAGCTTTGTCGTCTCAGTAGTAGTACCAGTTCCTAGTAACCAGTTACCAGTAACCAGTGTACCAGTAGATGACTCACTACCAACCGTCTCTGCGTGAATCACTGTCTGTATTCATATTGCTGCTGACCACAGCAGTATTTCAAACACCCCCTCACATATGGGTACTGGGGTTAGTCAGTCTTCCGTTGCAGAAAGACGTTTCTGTGGCTAGTGTGCTCACTTGAGTGTTGCTGTTGTCCCTTGCGTTTCAGATTGTGATCCCATCCTAGTTGACAGTAATCAGTGCATTGTAAGAAGTTATTTCTCGAGTAACTTCCACGTTGTTAACGTTTGTAAGTGAAGTTTATAGCTGATACCTCGTGTCACTGTGTGTGACTCAGATTGAATATCAGCATTGTTCACCATGTTCATTTCTTTTCTCCTGTGCTTGCAGTTTGAAATAGTAGATTCGTTCTCCCTTGCTCATATTGCGTGTTATAGCGTTAATTTTTTTCAACCGGGGGGAGTCATCCACTCCACCGAGTAAGAAAGAACCGATCCCTTGTGTTCTGGTGATTCGATTCCTGCTCCAGGAAGATCTTATTCTGACTGTGAAGCCACCAGCACCCATCAGTGACTTTGTCAAGAACCAAGAATTACTGTATCGAACAGCCGAGTTGGGTACTCCTAGCAGAAGAGAATACCAGTTAGTAATTCCACAGTCACTAGTGAATGTAGCCTTACAGCTAGTTCACGATGTACCAGGTGTTGCACACCCTGGTATGGATCGTTCAGTAAAACAAGCCAGATTGAAATACTTTTGGCCTCGTATGGCAACTGATATTTCTGAGTATGTTAAGAAATGTAGTGTCTGCATGCAACATAAAGGTAATGCTAATGGTCCTAATCCAATCCAAGTATATCCAACCACTAGCGAACCTTGGGAAAGAGTTGTGCTAGATTTGTTAACTAATTTCCAATGTTCCCTCCAGGGCAACAAACATCTGTGTGTTATGGTAGACCATTTCACCAGATATGTTCCTATTGCAGATAAGACTGCCGAGGCAGTAGCTAAAGCATTTAAAGAACGCATTATCTGCAGGCATACCACCCCTAAGTCCCTAGTAACAGATAATGGAGGTGAATTGTGTACCTTGTACAAGATCCCTAAATCCACCATTGTTCCTCATCACCCTGCCAGCAATGGGTTAGCGGAACGAACCAATAAGAAAGTACTTGATGTCTTGAGAGCCACTATCAATCCCAACAGTGAAACTTGGGATGAAGTTATACCTGATGTGCAGTGTGCTATAAATTCTTACAATGTTCCTATAGGTGACACTCCACATTATGCATTGTACGGTGTAGATAAACGTTTGCCTTATGAGTTGTTATATTCTAATCCGAAACCAAGTTACAACCCTGATGATTTCATAGCAACTCGTACCAGCTTAGCTCAAAGTGTTTTTAGAAGAATCCGTGAAACACTTCATAAATCAATAACGGAATTTACAAGAGTCGCAAACACTCGAGCAAAGCCATCCAAAATCAAAGTAGGTTCGAGAGTTATGCTGACTAACTTTAACAAAACGTCTGCAATGCCAAAGCTTGATCAAAAGTTTGTTGGTCCTTATCGAGTAGTTGAACATATCACTGGTAATAAGTATAAGGTTAGAGAAATTAGTACTGGTCAGTATAAAGAATCGCATTTAGATCATATGAAGTTAGTATGTGATGATAATGATGTTCCAACCCAGACTGTGACAGACTCTGACAATCCTCCTGATCCTGTACTCTCTTTCTCTGATACTCAGTCAGACGATCAACCTGAGTGTCGTTATTCCCTACGTACACGACAGGTATTGAGAAATCCTCAAGTATCATTTGTAACTACCAATTCAGATTTGTCTCAAATACAGCATGAGTTAGCCAGTGCTACAGAGTTTGATCCTCCCAGAGATGACACCCATTCTGCATATGTCAATCTCACCCTAGCAGAGTTGGGGTTAAATGTAAATAACCTGTATAGATGAATAATTACAGTATCAACTTATCAGTATTCAAGAATTTTTTTTTTTTGTGTTCACGTTCTCTCCGAATTCTGAGAGTTAACAGTCTAGATTTGAGTGCACCGAATCTGCCTTTCTGTTAAACACTTCTTTCTTTGAATATATTCCTTCCTCAGAATCCGTAGATCACATGAATACAGATCGATCGATCAAATTTTTTTTTATCACTTCTATTGTGTAATCTCAACATTGAGTTTCATTCAATGAGTTTTCGTTGAGTTTCATTCGATGAGTTTCATTCGTTGAGTTTCATTTGATGAGTTTCATTTGATGAGTTTCATTCGATGAGTTGTGTTATATTATATCTTGTATTGCATTACAGTTTCAGTTACGTAAGCTTCCATTCCAATATTCTACTTATGTATGTTATAATGTTCAATTGTTGTGTACTTTGACATTGTATAGAATCAGCCCAAGCTGTATACCTGCCATCTCTAGTTTGTATTAGTTGTATGTCGGGACGACATACGTTAGCGTCGCCGAGCTCTCAGTAGTAGTACCAGTTCCTAATAACCAGTTACCAGTAACCAGTGTACCAG